TGTAACCCAAACCGAGCATAAAGTACTGACACCTCATTCCTCACCAGAGTTAACATCTGGACGACCTGAATCCTCATAACATCATTTTCATTTCAATCTCTCTTTCTGTGTCTCTCTGTTTCCGTTATGTTGTTTTGTGCCCCCCCCCCCCCCCTCCACCCTCCCCTCCTGTCTACACCATCCCTGCTCCATTAGACTAATTGTGCCGTAATAATCTCCAGTGATGTGTGCTTCTAATATCTTGAATGGTCATGTTACCCTATTTTGATTACCCCATTTCCAAGCTCCTGCTGCACTCTCTGTAATCCACTGCCCTCACTAAAATCTGAAAAAAAGTGTAATTCAGATGAGTGGGGAAAACAACCTGCAGTGACACACATAGACATACAATATAATGGCAGCGAGCCTCAAGGTTATATGTCAGGAAAATCCCTAGACACACGGCCAGCATGCATGCAGCATTCAAGGAAATTACACACAACAGGCAGAAAATGTCCCCCTTTTGGGTAGTTTAACAATGACGGATAGAATGGGCAAGTGCTTAGAAAATTAGATTAGATAACTCCTAATTGTCATGTATGGATGTAATCATACATGCACTTATTCCTGAGGCTGAACGGAAGAAGGGCTTAAGCCCTGCATGTGTATTCTAAAAGCACACGGACAGCCAGCATGTAAGAGGATTTTGCTGGACTGTGAAATTCTTTTTGTTACATGTTGTTATTGTTTCTTTCTTTTTTTGTTTTGTTTATTTGTTTGGTTGGTTGGTTTTTGAGGGGGGTGGCATGTGTAGGCGTACAAATGATCATCTTCTAAAGATAAGCTATTGAGAGTGTGGCTCATTCAGTTTAATACAGCTATTCTGCATGAATAACATTAATCATTTAATCACAACAGTCACAGATAAACACCTGCGCGTGCGTGTCAACCTCATGATTGGGCCGTTTCATAATGACTAGTTTCTACACGTGAAGGCCAAATAAGGCGAAACAGTGTGACAGGATCCCTGCAGAACTTCTGAGGAAAAAAAGCTTTCTGTGCACATAAATTACCTAAAATCACTGTAGGGGTGGATTATCCAGAACCCTGCAGACTTCACGCGCTCCCTCTCGTGCTCCACGGCCCTCTCACTGCCCAGCATCCGCAGGGAGAACTTGTTGACTCCCGGCTGGAGCATCGCCCCGAACTGACGGTGCATGAACCCCGCCTGGTACAGCCTTTCATCCTCAGGTAGGATTTGTTCGGTCCCCTCCAACTTGATGAAACTCGACTGGTCAAACGCGGACGACTGGCCGGCCGCGCCGGTCCGCCCTCCGGCCGCCAGATGCTGGGCCCCCGGGCCGGACTCACCGGGCAAACTCTCCCCGACGCCGGCGTCCGCCTCGGTGAGGAGGCGCCGCTGCTCGGCCGAATCTGACCCGGGAAGGTGCCGCCCGGTGATGGAGGAGAGGCTGCTCCTGAAAAACCGGCAGTCCCCATTCAAGTTGGTCCTCACTATAACGTCCCTCTCCAAGTCTTCGCTTCTGGCCTCCTCAATGCTCCTGCAGCTGCTCGCGGGAGATGAAGAGGGCAAATGTTTTAATCGAATACTTTTCCTACTGGTGTCCTTGTCGGCGCTCTCCCCTTCGCTGTCAGTCAGAAAGGGCTTTTGCGCAATGTTTTGCGGCAAACTGTAGAGCCGTTTGCGCATGGAAGTCTGGAATCTTTCCATCTTGGTGGTGGAGAGGGGAAGAAAATAAAAATATATGTGTGTTCTAAGGATAGCCTGTGAAAAGAGTGGGATGAATCATGAACCTCGTGTGTAGTTGGTGCTGCTGGAGGCAGAGCAGTGACGGCGCACCCGCAGGACGGCTCCTGTCTTGTCGGACTCTTGGGACGTGCCGCTCTCCTCCGGCTCACACATGGAGATGAGTCAACGGTACGAGAGCGCTCCGGTCAAGCGGCCGCGTGAAGAGGAGCGAAAAACGAGGGAACGCGCGTAAATCCCAGTGAGCCCGCGGTCAGCGCGGCCGGGAGCGCGTCGGGATGCTGCATGCTGAGCGCCGGACGTGCCGGAGTGGGAGAATGCCGCTGCTCAGCTTCTCAATGACAAAGCATCATCATCTCCACCTCCCCCGAAATGTCAGAGCTCTCTCTCAGCGCAAGGTGAAGAGACCCGCGTGCACCCAGCTGGCACCGGCATTTAAAGAGCGCTGACATCACCGCGCAACCCCCCCCCCCCCCCCCCACAGCTCTCTAATAACGTAAATATTGATGGAGCTAATCTATCGGGTTGCCATAGGAGCCAGGATGGAACAATCGCTCACCCCTCCCCGCGGGGACAACTGGAGGGGATGATTCAAGGATGCGATCTTTCCTTGGAGTAGTTCAAAACAGTCTGGAGAAAAACGGCGGGGTTTACCTTCTTTTCCACACAGTTGGGGGCAATAGAAGTGAAAACGAAATAGCCATGTGTGTTGGACACCGAACTAACCCTAAAGGCAGATAAATGGGAGTTATTATTACTTAAACATGCGTAATGGACTGGAAGGTTCTGGTGGTTGTTTCGTTTGGATAGAAAATTGCACATTTAAACAAGAGGGCGACATAAATAAAGTTGCACCAAGTCTCAGAAAGGCTAGTAAATGATCTATCAAATTTGCGGGGAGAGAATGCTGAAGGGTCACCCAGATCGTGGTGTGTTTTCTATTGCGCAAAATGGATGAAAAAATGGTAAGCGCTGACGTCCTTGGCACATCACAAACCGCTGTAAAGACCATTTGCAATATGAGGGACGATTTTTTCAAACGGAAAAACTCATTTCCATTTGAAATATAAAATGATAATGATACATAGACAAATTTATAAGGAGCTAAATGTTCCCAAATACTCCACAATCACAACAAAGCTGCATATGGAGAACATTTTTTCTTAACCAAATCAAATGGAATTGGAAACTTTAAAGCAATTAAGTTAACAGCAATATTGTATGTAAACAAGGCAGATGCTTTATTGCCCTTTCTTTTTAAGTAATTATCTAAACTTAACTTTGTCAGGCCAGAGAAGTGATGGAGTGCTTCCCTGGCACGGAACAACGTAGGACATTCATTTGGGGACAGGTTGTTGACGGCTGGCTGCGTGATTTAATGTAAACTTCACCGGAATGATTTAAACCACATGACAATTTCACATGGCATGTAGCCAATAAGAAGGAGAGGAGCTCAGCAGTTTGTTTAGGCCGAAATATTTCCTCAAGAGACAGAGAAATATTAAATGGTAATTTATTTCACTTGCGTAATAATTGAACCATGCATTTTAATTTTCTCCTTCAGAGAACATCTGGTATATAGAAAATTAATGTAATGTAGACAAAACAAACATCAATCAAATTAGCAAGTCTTGTTTGTGTTTACGTTGTGTTGCCCCTAACATGTGTGAAGCATAATGTATACAGTTAAACTCACCCAAGCCTGCAGACAGCTCCACTGATGGATTCCAGCTGTTTAAATCTAATCTTGAGCTGATCTGAGCTCGGCGAAAAATAAAAGACATTTTTTAAAAGGTCAGTAGTGAGATAACTAAGATATCAGCATACCGTTAAAAAAGAGTGAATAATTTAGTGGAAGTGGCCCACGCTACTGAAGCATGAGAGAAAGGTGCTGTTTAAACAGTGTTAAGCGGCCTCATAATATTAACTGATAAACAGAGTTATGCCATGAAATGTGGCTCTTCCAGTTGCATGTGATGAGATATGTAGTCTCAGCAGATGCAACGCACTGTGTTAAAGCAGTAAACCCACAAATAAACTGTCCTTGTGTCCTGTGCTTTGTAAGACACACCGTGAGACCAAAGTATGTGCCATTTATAGCAGTGATCAGTGCGACTTATTGGACTTAGCACAGAGGTAAATTGTGTAACCTGTACAGAACAAGCAACAGTCAAGTAATATTCATTCCTTCATGATTTGTTTTGAAAGTCGACCAATGCCCTGTTTAAAAACTAGTCCTCCAGATTAACGTGAATTTAACAGCTGAGATTAATCCATACCGAGAGAACAGCATCTCATTTTAGTCAGAAGTTGCCTTTGGTTCTTCCAGCTGTTTACTTGTTTAAGGGTTTCCACAGTCACAGATGTCCCTTTGACCTGGAAACGGACTGATTCCCTAAGAATGACAAATTTTGCTGTTATATTAATCCACATTACATCACATGAATTTCATCCAGAGACCCAACGAAAGAACAAATCAACACAAGACATTAAACAACCTCATACCCTGCGGATGATTTGAATGAAATGCTGTGGGAAATCAGCCTGACGCAGAAAAACAGCCACTGTGGGCACTGCCCATTACAGCTGGAGAGGACAGTTAAAAACATGGAGATTTACCTCCATTTCTCAGTGACTAAATGTGATGTCTTTGCGGAGCAGATTAAATACTGCTTGTCTGTAGAGTGTAGACTGAATGTGGATTCACTGCTTTGATCCCAAGTGGAAGCAGATCAGTCAGCAAAAACATGAACTGAAGTAACCAACTTTCCTTACAAATGAGCTCAATTGAATCTGTGTGGGAATAATTGTCCCATTATTTTTAGTGTAAAAATCTTAGAACATTTCCAAAGATCTAGTAATAATTTTCTTAAATTCTGCAGGATTTTAAACATGGCCAAATGATGTTTTCTCCTGGTTTGTCACTAGCCCTAACCAGAGAGGCAGCTTCATCCCCTTTCTGAGTGAAGCTTTTGTTTTCAGTTACAAATAAAGAAAACATGCAGAGTTTAAAAAAAAAACATTTACTTTAACTGAGGGTTAGATTTTTTTCTTAATTTAAATCACTTCTAAGTTTATGCGTTTTTTTGTTGTTTGTTTGAAAAGATATCAACTTTGTCTATGCTGGTCCTGGTCGCAGTCTGCTCCTGACACCACTGGGGGGCGCTGTTCTCCACCGTGTTCCCAGCAGTCTGAAAGGCAGTATGGTGTGGAAGCATCATTCCTTCCACACACAAAAAACAAACACACAACGTTTTCAATCTCTTGGGATATTTATTCATAAAAATGACTGGACAAATTGGAATTTCTTCACATGTGTCAGCTCCGACGTGGGCTTTCTTTCCCCGCCTCCCACGTCAGCTGTATAGGACTCATGCAGCTGTGTAGTATGCCATTGACGCTCTACGGAGATCCTACTAGTTTAAAGCTTTGTCACAGAGAAATCAGAAGCTGCAATGGTTTTCAATATATTGATATGGATAATAATTGCATAGGATAATAGCCATGCTGTACAATACACATATAAAATAATATGTTGGAATGATTGATACAGATTTCCTAAAGTAGGTTTATACAATTCGTCAATATTCTCAACATTTAAGTGCATCATATAATATGAATATTCTTTATATCAATGGTGATTTACATAGTTCGAGCGATTTAACACACAGTACATACATACAGTAAAGTAAATCTTAACCAATTTAAGAGGGACACTGCAAAGCCCTTAAAATGTGAAATATATATATATATATATATGTGTGTATTGTCTGATAAATAAATTAACAGTATGCTGCAGAATGATAAAACTGTACACATCTGTCATACCAGATTAGATTTGTCTTCTCTTTTACATTGCTGAGTTTTGTTTTTCACAGTACAGATTTTCTACATTGAGTCACACTCGTAGGAAAAAAAAAAGCCATTTCTGTATCAAACAGAAGGTCAACATCTTGCATGCATTATTTTAGAAGTAGTAGTAAAAATGCAAAATTAGTGGATGAGAAGAAGAAAAACCAAACAACCCCCCCCCAAAAAAAATAAATAATCAAAAACGTCAACAAGTGCATGCAGCAACAATGATTATTATGTTAACAATTCCATAATGGTCTTAGTATCTCCTCACCTCACACGATAAAATCATAAGGCATGCCTCATTTAACCCCCTCCCCATACCAATACTTTTAATGGCAGACACATCCAATCAACAAATGGTATGGAGTCCCCTCATTTTTACCTTCATATGGTCAATACATGTGTTACGAGACCTGGAAATAGAGAAAGTTTAGCTTGTTAAAAGGTTCAGGCACGGCTAACATAATTAGGCTGAGAGGAGTTTTCCATGGAAATCATCTTGTGCTGGCTGCCACTGAGCCATCATAAACACAGCTCTCCAGCCCAATAAATTTAAACTTACTTGGCAGACAGGCTGCTCAGTTTGTGTTCCTCTGGCGGAGATTCTTGTCCTTGTGATTGTTGGTAGAATTGGTTTTCCTGAGGTAGAAAAAATAAATAAATTGATCAGTTATACCCTAAAAAACAAGATGTATTGTGTAGAATCCAATCAAATGCAAATATCTATTTAAAACAAACAAAAATAAGAAAACTAAAACTTTGATTTTCTGCGAACATGTAATACAGAAAAAGGCAGAGAGAAAGTAGACTTTTACAACTAAATCCATATTCTGAATACAGTCACATACTGCTTTTTTCCATTAAAAAGATAGATATGTTTTCATGTAAACATAGAATGTTTTCATGTAAACATAGAATCACAATTTTAGGAAGGAGAGTGGGCGATTTGTCTTTACATATTTGGAAATCAATTGAAAATGTTTTTTAAAATGAGGGTGAAATGAATCATCCCCGTGGTGTATAATAACTGGCTGACAAATGCCATATTTGAGGCCCATTGTTTAATACAACATGCAGACGTTGGTTTTTGCAGCCTGGAGATCTTCTCTCATGATGGTGGAGTTTCTTTCCAAATAACTATAAAGTTTATGAACTCACAGTTCATACTGTTGAAAACATGCACGGAGGAGATAGCAGAGTAACAGGTGAACCAGGTAGAGCTAATAAAAGTGGGTCATTCACTAATCAGAGGGTCGGAGGGGAAATGACAGAATGGAGCTGTTGCCATTTGGGCTGTGTTGCCCACAGCTGACTGTGGCATGCGTTATTGACATGAGTTATACTCCAGGTTTCTTTATTTCTTCTATTTTTAATAGTCAGATTCAGTTTTATTCTGATCAAAATCTATGGAGGAAAACGGATGAAACATTTTGTGAGAGACGATTACATGAACAAAACCTCTGGCTTTCTATGACCTACTCCTAACCAGTGCTTTGCTTTCAGTTTGTACTTACGCAGGTCCAGCTAGGTCATCATCTGCGGCAATAAGGGAAAATACGGAGAAATGAGGACCAGGAAAACAAAAGAATCGAAAGGAAAGATGGTGATGAAGTGATAAGAGGTTAGCTTGTAACAGAGCAGATGACCATGAGGATTTCAGTGGTTTTTCTGTACTGGGTGGTGAGATAAAAAAAAAAGGCAGCCTAAGTAACAAACGCTGAACAGCAGGCCGTCATGCTGGAGGAAAAGCCCCTCACTCAAAACACAGCTAGCCAGCACATTTAAAACGGCATCTGACAGGGAAACTCAGATCTTAAAAACGACTGGTCATGCACGGACAGGCAGCCATCACAAAGGACATCTGGTCACTGAGGGAGATGACTGAGGGGCAGCTTTGTCAGGATCAGCTCTGCGCTGAGGCTAACAAGTCGGCCAGGCAGCGGCAAACAGAGGCGGCAGAAAGAGTTTGACTTCACTGCGGTGGCTTTGCACGCCATCGCGCTGCTGCCGTGGCTATGAGTGGGATGCAAACGTGGAGAGGCTGTTTCAGAAAATGAAACAAAAATATCTGCACTGCACTGATGTTTAACACACACGCACACGCACACACACACACACACACGCACACAAAAAGGATCATCAGAGCTGTTAACTGCGGTGTGAACTGCTGGGAGATGAGCTGAATGCTTATTAGAAATCAGGCAGCATGCACAGTCTCACACTTACCACAAACATGGTTTAGGTTACGCAATTTGGGGGGAAAAAAGGGGAGGATGGGAGAAATAACAATCTTCAAATATCCAACAGCTAGAGCTCACTTACTTCTAATGAGAAAATAAGCAAGCCAAGAGGAAAAGTGGCGTTTGCTGTGCATCTCAAAAAATCTATGACACTTTCTAAAGACTTTACAGATAGACTGTCATGACCATTTATCTCCCCACAATGACAGAGCTCTGAGCTTTTAGCTGTTCTCTGCTGGTTGCATCTGATCAGCATGTGACAACATCAAAATTCTGTTTGAAAAAGGTCACCCAAATACCAATAATGAATCATTTATGACAAGTAAAAACACTCTAGTCTTATACATAAAATGAATAAAAACTTCATTTTGTTTAATCGAAGGATGGCAAACTCCAGCTGAATAGTTAGTTAGTGGTTCTTTTGGGTAAACTTGCAGAGACTCGGATACACCTTCAGATCCCTGAAAAGCAGTAATGAACTGAAACCGTTCACCTCTGCAAGACTGCAGTGTCACATTTCTCATTAATATTAAATATCTGCACTTGTTCTAACAAGGTGTGACCTTCTGCATCAGTGTCTGTCTGTTGGGTCAACCTCACCAGACTGAATTATTGAATGTAGGCACAGCACAGTGTCAGATGACTCCAGTAGTGTGTGAGGTGGATTTAAAGAGCCCAGTAGAAACTACAGTTCCTAACAAAGAATATCAAATCAGATCAATTAGAGGAGAATAAAAGTAAGACGTGGAGAAAAAAAAAAGGTGGTCAAGCTTTACTAAATAAACCTAAGACACGATTTCCAGACCAAGTACAGGATTTGAAAGTTTAAAAAAAAGCTCACTTTGCTATTATGCTTTATTCTTTTTGTGGACTGTATGACAAAGTCTAATCATTTTCCATCAACTCTCACTACAGGTTTTAAATCGGACTCAGATCTGGACTGTTCGCTGGTATAACTCATAAGAGATATGTCTTTTCTCCGGAAAAGTTGAACGCTCTTAGCTTTGTCGCAAGATGCGTTATCGCCCTTAAACCCACGGCCGCCGTCACAAACATTGATTATGAAAACAGTCGGAAGCCTTAATCTGTGTATTTACTGTACAGGCAATGACTGCCGTCCGCTTCTGGTTCATTGCCAGACATCAACCCCACACCATAAAGATTGTAGAAGTGATTCACCTTTTTTCTCTTCAGCTATGTTTTATGTTTGACCACTGGGTTAAATACCATTTTACTGATATTTACTTTATTTTCCCCAATTCATTTTGTGAAGGCTTTCTGACTTTCCTGTCATTTTTTTAGCTAACCTGAAACAGTAAACATGTTTTATCGTACTCAATTACAGAGCACAAAAATCCCCCGAAAAAAACTAAACAAACAACCTCCAAATGTATTGACCCTGTCATTTTTAGCAGGGGTTTGAAAGCGGATTCTCAGGAAACACAGAACTAACAGGACAGTCATTCTCCCCACAATTGGTGACTCACCGTCTTGTAAATCTTCTGGCTTCTTACGCTTCTCATAAACAACTATGATTACGACCAGGATGATGATCTCAGCCAAAACTCCTAGAAGAGGCCATAAGGGAGCCAACTGGCTGCGAACCCTCAACACGGACTTCTCGGTGATGCTGCCGATCATGTTGGTGGCATTGCACATGTACTCGCCCGGGTCTGCATTAATGTCCAGGTTGGCAATGTGGAGCTCGGTGTAGTTGTCCTTGCTGCTGACGATGAAGCGTCCAGTTGTGTTGTCAATGTCCTGTCGGAGGGTTGAAGGAACAGGAAAAAAAACAGTCAGCAAGGTTAACTCCTACACATTCCATTTACAATTGAAAGCTTTTTAAAATTAAAACTATGTTATGAAGGAAAGACTGAATATTTAATGGGTTGGTTTTTTTAAAAGTTGGTACGGTCTTCTGTTCATTCTGTTCTTCCCTCTCCTCTGATTCCACTTTTTCCTTGACAAACCATAAACAGTTGACCTTCAATGCAAACGTTCACTCACATTTCTTCTTTGATACCTGCAGTCAGTGGATATCAGTCTACATGCTGTATTGCAAAGAATCCTTAAGAACACACTGTATTCGAGCACAGTTGTTAAACAAATGGCAGCTTAAGCCAAAGCGGCTTTTAACTTCAAGATCTTCAGCGCTCCCTCATGCTTAGATGGATATATCTGTTGAAGTGGTTGATGAATTGACGCTTTAAATAGCATTTGCTGTTGGAATGACAACCTGTTCACAGTGTATGGTTTCTTGAGGTTCTCATGAAGATTCCCACATCAGTTTTTGATCGTTTTAAATACAGGAAGCCACTTATTGTTAGCTTTTCCCAGGCTACAGAGATTTCTCTGGATTCTCCAAATCTTTTAATGATATTAGGAACTGTAGAGGGTGACACCATGATGCGGCTGACATCTGCTACAGTCCCCCCAACCCCCCCGCCCCTCCCCCTCTCTAAGGCACACACATGTTAGATTAACTGGTTAACTAGTTAACTGGGATTAACTGGTTACTAAAATCAGTCTGAAAAGGGAGCAAGCAAGTTTTCTATCCATTTGCATTTCCTCTTTGAAGCATGGCCGACATGTCCAGGATGAAGTCTGCCTCTTGCCAAGTGCAAGTTGGCCCCTGGCTCCAAAGCCCTCAGAACCTCCACGGGGTGAGGAAGATACAGCAAATGGATCAGTGCTTGTAAAGAGGAAGATGAAAATCTTCCTCTTTGTAGTAGTTGTAGTAGTTTAATGTACGATAAATATTACTGGTGGGTTACTCATATCAAGTTTTCCAATCTGTTTTTCCTACTGTTTCTATATAAAAAATGTTTAATATTATATATATATATATATATATATATATATATATATATACACACACACACACAGCTTTGAGATTGAGTTTTAATGTATCTTTTCCACAAGAACCTCAATTTAACTTTTGATTTTTTTTTTCAGGATGGCAGATTGCCAGGCGCTGATTGGCCAGATTGGAGTCACATCACTCCTTCCTGTGAATCCCGCCAATTTAAAAACGCGGCAACAATAAAACATCCAATTTCATTATTTCTGTGATCATAAATGTTGAAAAACCAATATCTTGGTCCAACACCGAGGTTAAGCCAGTGTTTCATCACTGCCATGGCCTTTCATTGTTGTTCCCTTATTGTGTCGCATACAAATGAGGTCGCGGGTCGGTCGGTCGGCCCGTTAGGAAATAAAAGTAACAAGTTAGGACCTCACCTCAACTGAAGCATAGGGAGGTGAATACAGCCAAATAGGTACCAACAGAAACCACCATGAGAGCAGGTACGAAACAAAAGTGCATCAAATGAAGAAAATCCTTTATATTATACAAAACCAGAAGTGATTGCAGCGGCATACCTTAAAAATACCATTTTCTGCCTTGTACCAGCTCCACATCGGGTGAGGATATCCAACCGATTTACAGTACAGCACAGCACGCTGGCCTTCATTCTTATTCTCACTGCGCTTGTGTCCTGTTATCATAGGAGGAGCTGAAAAGAGACAAATGTGAGCGATTTACTGAAATATTTCACAGAAGAAATGTCAATAACCAATTGGAAATTACTTATCCGTTACAATCAAAAGCCCCTTCCTTAAAAAGCCAATGATGAAAAATGCCATCCAGTCAAGAGCATGTGGTCGAATGTAACATTAAGCTACTTGTGTTCATCTGTGAATTTTGCACATTAGAAAAACTGCTTGGCTCAAAGTTGTTTTGTCTTTTTCTGCCTGGGTGAGTAGAAATGTCCCATCAAATAAGTAAACCGACCCAAAATCCAATTTGCCTTTATAGCGATGCATGTGTGACAGCAGAAAAAGGGCTGACCGGATTTCACCGTTAAGACATAATCCCCTGCCATCAGACAAACAAGACACCATCTGCTGCCACTGAGCCGAGCATTGGCTGGATGGAGGTGTCAAGGGCGCAGGCTGCCCCTGAGCAGCCAGCGGATCGGGCCCTCACACGATAGGTCGGCAGGTGCCCGCGGCCACGCACACTGGTGACAGATGGAACGCGGCCTTGCCCCGGCAAATGTGACAGCCTCTCATAACTCAACACCTACATTTAACTTCAATCGTGGCGTTGGCTGGTGGCGCCATCTCGAAGATGTAGACGCACATGTAGACCCCGGCGTCGTCTCCTCTTGGCCTGTTCAGCCTGTAGCAGAGAGACACACCCGTTACCTCCACACCAGTCTGCTCGGCTCCAATTAAAAAAGAAAAAGATTAAAAATAACGTTGGATGGTCCTTTTCCTTACCTGTACTCGGTGTTCCGGTTTGGGCTGCGCGTTTCAAGGATCTCCTCGCCGTTTTTCATCCAGTAGCTCTCCTGATGGACGCTGTGGGCGCTGGTCAGGTTGCACTGCAGCATCAGACTGTCCACGTCCGCACTGAGCAAGGCATGCTCAGAGGCAGAAATTGAGGGCTCTGTAACAGAGAGATGGCTCAACAACAACAGGGCACTGTCCGCTGAGACGGACGGGTGAGGCCGTTTTACAAGATGTGAGGAGCAAAGCACAAAGGGTTCAGCCACGGGGTCCAGCCGCCAACCACTCCTTACACAATATCAACTAAAGAAATAAAGCTCCTCTCTGGGAGGAATCATTTTGGCAGTCCTGCCTTCCTAAAGTAGAAATCCATTCATTTTCTGTCTCAGAGAGACTTAAAACTCCCTCGACTCAATTATTAATACAGAAGAAGACCAATGCATAGGGATGTAAAAGGATGGGGAATGCAATCTCCAGCTCACATTAATTCACTTTTGGATTACAATTCAACTTTGAATGAACTCAAAGTTCATTCAAAGTTCATTTAACGGGCTTATTGGTACAGAGCTAGAGGTCAAGAGTAGAGTCCTTTGCCAGCCAGTATCTCAATCCAAAGAAATTAAACAAAGTACCCAAATAAATGAAGGCTGTGATATGCACCTATCCCATCAACAGGTTGAGCCTAAATCTTTTGAGGGATATCAGCACAGAAAGTAAAAGGAAGTGTTAATAAACCTCTCCCCAGAACTTCCACTCGGAAAAAGTTCAAGTGGCCTCAATTCATCAGTTCAAAAATAAACGTAAGCAGGGCTAAAAATATGGACCCATAAAAAGGTCTGATTTTAATACATTTTCCTATAGCACTGAAGGAGATTTGCTTTAAAGTCAAGTTCTTTCGAGCTGCTAGACTGCTCCAAAGAGTGACAACACATCTCTGGTGATACTTGGCCTAAAGAAACTTTGTACATGTTGTGGAAAATAGATGGGAAATTTATAACAACAATAAAAAAAGAGATTTTGATAAATGTGAAGAAGGGAAACAACAAACAAAGGAAATGAAGGAGAGCTGAACGCTTACTGCTGTTGGGATGTTTGAAGGGTCTACTGCACTAGAAGGGACAGAAACACGACACGAGGACAAGCCGATTCCTCTCTCTCCGGCTCTAAAAAGGGCAAGATGACAGCTATGGAGGAAGCTAGCGGTCCACTGGAGAGGTTTGAGGGAACGAGGGCTGGACCGCTCCACGCTGACCACTCACTTTGCAGCACCGCTACTGAGGCCTGAGCTCGGATCCAGGTGGTGGCTGGGTTTTGGTGGAGGTCGTTGCGCCGCGGGTCATTGCTTGCTCGGCATTCATAAGTTCCAGCGTCATCCAGAGTGAGACGCGAGACCCCCAGCACGCTCACCGAGTTTACGCCATACGCGGTGTTGATGGACACCCGGCGTTTGCGGGCGCCGTCCCACAGCTGCCTGAAAGAGTCGGCTCGGTTGATCTCCGAGTACCACCACTGGATCTCTGGGGTGGGGTTTCCCACTACGTCACAGTACAGCTCAAAGGTGTCGCCCGTGAGCTTAGTCTCAGACAAAGGGGACTTCACAAAGCCCGCTGGTGGCGGTTTAGAGGGGCACCGAGTCCACAGGTCAAAAGAAAAGGAAAAAAGAAAAAAAAAGAAAAGAAAAAAAGAAAAATTGGGGATGGAGAGGCAAGAACATGACAGGTTAAATTAAAAAGATGTTAGCAAATCATACAGGAAGGAAACATTTTGGAAAAGGAAAATAATCAAAACTCATATCAAAATGAAAACAGACAAGTTTCAGGAGGTTTTTTTTTCCTTCAATAATTTAATTTTTGAATGTAGGTGTGTTCCCCTGATAACTTATTTTTTTTACAGCTTTCAATTTAAATTATTCAACAAAAATCCTAACAATTAAATAGTCATTCCTGTACCATTTTCAATGATGTGGAAAATGACACCCACGGGGCATTTCTCTGTCAGATCAGTCATCTTATAATAAACACCAGCATCAAATCCACACATCAGGGATGATGGCATTTGCTCTCCTCCAAAGACAAAGAGAGATGACCCAAGAGTTGTCTGAGGCGTTATTGCCGCTATTCTTGGGAAGCTTTAATTAAATTCTGCTGGTACGTCCCTGCAAGGCTGCTCTCACTTAATCTGTCCAATTAATGAATTCATAGAAATTTGGGCTGGTTAGCACGGCGCTCACATACAAGTGTCATTCTGGTGACCTTGCTGTTTTTAGCCCAGTCTTTTAGGTTTAATGAAAACAACATTAGGGCTCCAAACAGCTCGTTTATATCTAATGATGGGGATGCAATTTCACTGTTAATGTTGCTGGATTGAGATCGCCTCCCTCTCAGAATTAATGCAATAGATGTGACACAATTGATCACAGCAACAGAGAGAGGAGGAGGAGGAGGAGGAAGGGTGGGCAGGAGGCTGTAGTCATAAGCATGCTCTATAGGCTCTGTGGAGAGCAAGATATTGAGAGGTGATTTATACAAGCTGTGCAGCTCTTGGTCTCTGGGGAGAGTGTGGGCGCATGGTGATAGACCCCCTCCGTTTCCATAGAGGCACTCTACAGCAGCTAAACAAGAAAATGAAGAAAAACCAACCAGATCAGAGAGACCATCTTAAGCAAGGCGATCACCCCCCCCCCCCCTTTAGACGGGCTGGCGTCATAAAAGCCAGCTGTATAGCATGCAACTGGTTTCTCCAAAGGCAGTTTACATAGTGCAGCAACATGCAGATTCCTTTAGCCATACAGCGAGTGCTGGTAAATAACAGCGATGGGACCAACAGCCAAGACCTCAGCGCTTGGCTTAAAAGGGCCGAGAGATGGACACTGCAACCTCAGACTGAATGGGACATGTCATCAGAGCAGCGCCGGCGGCCTCGTCCCCACACGTTGCTGCCCTAAATTTACCTCAAGTTGATGCTAGTTCAGCTACGTTTGTCCCATGTGTCTGAATGGAGAAATTAGGCTTCGAGCTACATGTTAGAAAACGTGTGCAGCTCGTTGGACACATCACATGGCCCTGACATGAAAGTACTCATTCAATTTGTTGATCAAAAAGGTTCTAAAGTTATTAACGGTGACATGATTTTAAAACAGCCATGAAAATGACGCTGCATCTATGTCAGAAAATTAACCCAAATAGGACCTAAAAATATAGTAATTAAAGTCGTGTTTTGCCAAAAGGCTAATTACATGATGACTGCAGCTGGAGGACATTTAATATTCTGGTATAGTCTCTGAACCACCAGACAGTGTACAGGCAGGTTTTTAAGGCTTATTTCTAAAACTGGAGGCAAATACAGAGTTTAGGTATGATCACTGAGTGGTGAAAACACAAATGTGACAGCATACCAATAGATTCTTTTCAAAAGTCAGTGTGTTCTGTTTCAAATATTTGCCATTTAAGTTGTGATGAGTCCATTCACACGAAACAAACCAGTAGCTGAGTGGGTACTCAGTATTCAAACAGACAGGTAAAAAATGAGAACAACTACAGCTTATATTACAAGTAACTCTGTGAAGGCCTATTTGATCTGGAAAGGTGCTTTTATATGTTAATATTGGCAAAGACATTAGACACAGAACATACAAAATCAATGTTCATTTAACATCAATTCATATCACAATGTTTTTAAATTCCTGACTTAGTTTTTGTACTCTGCTGATTCTCAGTGATACTGAATATTACAAATGGCACTATCAACAGAATATTTGAAATACACTGAATTAGAAAACTACTGTTCCAACAGTTTGACGCTTTAAATACAGAGAGCTTCAGAAACCTCTAAGCTCCAAATAGGTCATCAAAGGCAAGAGACTGGCTTTGATGTGAAGCATAACAGAAATATTAATTGGGGCTCCAACTGTTTATTCATTCCTCATTTGACAGAAGATAATCACCAGCACATTTTCGTGGTCAGTGATGCTCAGGTTAATTTCCCCACAATTCCAGCCTTTCAATGATAGAATTTCATGATTATCTTTTAAGAGGCCCAGCAGAATGTTTGTATGCATGCATCTTTTGTAGAGATTCTTATGTTCTGTCCGAGGCTAGGAAGATGATCAAAAACACAGTCCTGACACACTCCTATAGCGTCCTGCAGTGATGCTTTAGCAAGGATTCCTGCAGTGTGGATGTGGTGGTATTCTTTTGTTTTTTAAATACTTTTGGGAACCAGTGATTTGAAAAAAAAGAAAAGAAAAAAGGAGGTCTAATGGAGAATGGAGGAAGAGACAAAACCTTGGACCAGCTGCATCACTACCTTTCAGCTGCTGCACACTGCATGTGGCACCTGCTCACCGGGCACCCATTTGTTTTTATTCATTTTTGGTTAACCAGCCATGTAATCCCCTTCATTCTTTTTTTTTTTTTATTTTTTATTAGCAAGTAATCAGCATTATTGATTGGATAATCACCGCCCGATATGTATTGCCTGGCTAATGCAGACGCCTTATTTCAAGACTAAGTTTTTTTAATGATCTTTGTACAAAGCAGAAAAAACATGCTTGAATGAAGATCTTCAACAGTTAACTTGTCACCAGGCCACTTTACTTTAGATGCAGCACAAATCCATAGGGAACCCAAAATTATGTAAATTACCTCTGCATTAATATCCAGCATTAGCAGAGTCAGTTGGACGTATGCGTCTAGAAAAACAAAACAAATACTCACTTTATACATAGACACTACACAAGTGCATTCTTCCGACAAAAGATCCCTCTTTTCATCTCTGATGAGATAAAGAGACAGTATTACTAAAAGAGGAGAGGAAAAAAACCTCTCTGTTTAGGCGTGGGAGTGCAGTATAGGTGCAGGTGTGTAATGCAGTCCCACACATGGTCCACTCCTGGGAAGGCCACGGCACGCTCACATGCTGCTTGTAAAGCCATGTGAGCCACTCTGTACACTTCCAAGAGCCAAATACTCAGCTGAGAGAGGGTTACGCTGATCTAATCTGCTAGGTGGGAATGGGATTTATGAGCGGAGGGTCATTTGGACCAGCAGAAGCTGCTGGGAGATCAATGCAGTGCAGCGCCGTCAGCCAGGAGTTAGCAGATCCTCTGTAGCAAAAGGACATTAAAGCCACAGTTCCCAGTGCAGCATCTCTGCTCTAAAAATAGAAGCATGCAGCAAAATGGACTGATGCTATTTACAGAGCTGCTCTCCTGAAGTCCTACATCTAATTCCGTGGGCCTACATGTTGAGCTGGGCTCCAGCCTGCGGCAGAGGACCGGAGCCATTCCCTTGCATGTCTGAGGAGATGTGTGCGGGACAGCGGGCTGGATGTCGGCATGTATGAATGAATGAGTGTGCGCCAGGGGCTTCCAGGGCCTTTAAACTTCCGTATGGCACCATTTTTTCCCTGCACCTTCACCGATTGCCCCGAAACTAATGAGCGGAACTTGTCCTTGCTGATTGCACCGCTCAGGCTTCGACTCAGTATTCAGCTCCACACTTCAAAGGACATTTTAGGGACACGGTTCGGGCCTTCTTGTGGCCCATTTCAGCCAACGGAAAAACAGATTGTGGCTTATTAATGTTTGATTGTGCCTTCATTATAAGCGCAAGGGAAAAGAAAAGCATCCATTCATTTGCCTGACAGACGCTATAAGTTCATTTTAGAGGAACCTTGTGCAATTAAAAGCCGTTTTGTCGAAGAGATAAACGTTTTTCGTTCAACAAAAATAAATAAATAAAAAGCAGGAGGATTTATCCCACCCTTAACACTGCATTTTCGCCATGGACGAGAGGATAGCATCACGTATGTTTGATATGAAGAGCCAGTTCCCTACCGTTCTGGGAAGAGACGGACTGCAGCATCAGTGTTCCAAATATCGCCACCGAGAGGGACATGACCGCCGCTCTTCGTTTTCCAGGTATCATCTTCGGAGACTGGGGATGGATAATGCCGGTAGAAAAGCGCCCAACGGTTTTCTGGGGATGGTGCGGCTCGCCGGACACTCTTGACGTGTCGACCACAGAGGGGAAGTGTCGTTCGGTAGACTAGCGGGAGCCCGCGGCGGTCCTGCTGGCTACCTGAGCAGCTCTGCCGTCAGCCCGGTGCAGCTAGCGAAGCACCTTTTTTTTTTTTTTTAACCAACCGTTAATTCTTTAATCCCGCGAGATTTTGGAGGAACGCAGAGACAAGCTGGTACATCATAGAATCACGTCCAATCACGAAGTGGAGCAGAGGCAATTAGAAGAAAACCCCATATAAGATGGACGTTTTTTTTTTGCGGGGTGGGGTAGGCAGTAATACAGGGCTAAACACACCTGAGAATAAAGACAATTAAAAAAAATGTAAACTGATTTGCTGACATTTTTAGGCTTCATAAGGTCGATCTAGCACTGTTGCTATGGTTACCCACATCGTTACATTTTTAACCTCCTTCAATAGCCACCTGCCATCCAATCAAACAGGAGCATCTCTCAGGTATTAATACAGATGATTTAATCAGAGCTCAACAGCACGTCATTGGTCATTTACTGGACCAGGAGTATGCAACTTCTCACTCAAGCTGACTAAGCTCTAACCTAAAGTACACTCTGGAACACCCGCGGCCTTAAACAGACTTTTAATCCTATTTCTGGTTAAACAAATAAATGGTAATGCCAGATTCACACCACTAACACTATTTGCAGGGGCATTATGTAGGTTCCTTTTCCCGGCCACATTTTTATTCATCCAGTTTAGCCATGGTGACAAGAAAAACTTTACTCCAATAGTAAGGGGTTATTGGGATGCTCTTAAAATGCGAGGGGCAATTTTCTGTGACTTGACAGCTAGAGGGAAAGAGCACTGTCTGGAAATCAATACAAAGTTGTAAAGAGTGATCACCTTTGCCCCGTGTTTATATTTATCATTCCCTCTTAACTTTCCAACTTAATGATACCAGTGTCTGTCATTGTGAGGCATTACTTTGTGGCTTTAAAGAGAGACGTGTGAAACTGTCTTGTTTTTTTAATTATGAAAAACTCACCTTATCAAACTGCTACTTTGTTGGTTATGTATGAAAGCTAAAATCTAGCAGGTGTTTTTTTATTTACTGTCCATTTCTTTTGAGCTGTGAAGTTTCATGTGTATATGCAAACAATCATTAATTTAAAAATGTAGGTACATGCCATTCTTAAAGTTCCCAATTCATCTTCAAGCACATCATGGAGTTTATAGACACTTTTGATGAGCCACAAGTAAAAAAAACAACAGAAGGAGACTGACCAGCATGTTCCCTTTAACATCTGTAAATTAAATGACTCCCAGAATGGAAATTATTAACAATATATGGATACAGAGCCTACCCTTCTCCAAGTGTTCCAATTGAAAGGAATGGTGACTTTTCAGGGAATGGATGTGGCATTGAGAAAACTGGATATGCATGAAGCAAGACAAACTGAAACAAAAAGTTAGTATGTTTTCCACTTATTCTTTACAATGTTCAATTGTTGTTGTTGTTTTACCTCCTCCAATTAAAAAACATCTCAGTTCAAAGTATTGTGTAAGATGTTACATCCCTTCCACCATTTCCACAACAACCAAAAAGACGGGCCACAGCAAAGACCAAGGTATATGGAGGACGAGAAAAACAAAAGGAAATCCAAAGGAAAATCCCCTCTGTGGTCCACAGCTTTTTTGCAATGGGTTGTTCTTACACACACTTTTTTTTACATCAAATCTGTACATTTATAAATCATGGACTTGATGTGTTCAAGGCGGCATAGTAGAAATATTCTTATCTGGTTTCGAATGGTAAACACAAGCAGTGGATGGGTTCATTACTCCTCCTTCAGCTTCCTGTTGAAGAAAAAAAAACTCGAGACACCTTAAATGTTCTTTCTCTTTTGCTAAAGTCTATTTAATTTAGCTTCCCAGCACATTTTAATCCAAAATTTGTTTTTTGTTTGTGCTTGATGTATACAATTTCAATAAACCAATTGAAAACGACTCAAATAATAAGTATGAAAATTGTCTGCTCGTTAGGATTCTGTCAAAATTCTTTCTACCCTTTCCACCTTTGGTTGGAAAAAGGAAATGCACAACACAGTTCAGACTGAATTTAGATATCAAAGGTCTTTAGGGTAAAACATTCAAACTAAAACTACATTCCACTGATTTCATTTAAGTTGTGTCTGGTCAACAGTTTTGTTTTTTCAGATAAATTATAGATATATTTATATCAAACGGCAAAACTGGCTGTCACCAATGATTTTCCTATTTTTGACAAATGTTTAAGCTATTTTTGAACAAGAAAGCCATCCTCTTATCTTTGGCTCTGTTAGGGCTTCTGAGAGTTGGATCCCTGTTTTATATATCTTGAACTGGATATTGTCTATCTTTCTTCATTTAAATGGTAACAGTTAGGGAGAGGAAACAGCGTTTTTAAACCCTCTGTTTGCAAGCAGCTATTTCCTTCCACAGGTTGTCAGAAGAGGTGTAAAAAAACAGGAAGTGTTTTTCTTTTTCTCTTTTTTATACCTTGCAAAGTGCACATTAAAACAGGGCCATGCATGGGTGTCTTCCTGTGCTGTATAAACCCCGTGTTTGATACACCAAAGTGTGTGTGTTCTGTTATCTAATTATTCATTTTATGTGTAGTATATATTCAATCACAAGGTTTTGAAGCTCATGGTACATTACATGCACTTCAGACAATGTCAGTAAAGTTTTCTTTATTTGGTAATGTGTTGTATCACATATCGTTTTTCCTGCGTACATGATGACGTATAACTGAAACAGAAACATAAAGATGCAAGCACTTCTGCGTGGCCTTTTTTTTGTTGACAGGACAGTTTGAGGGTTGTTAGAGACTTGTACACTTTTCTGTTTTCTTATTGTGAAACCTGCTTCTTTTGGCTTCCTAAAAAAATATTTGAGCAGGTTCACACTTAAAGGACAGAATCATTTTTCTCTCTTTGACACTTCAAATTTCAAAGTCAGAAATTCTTCTCTTCAGGTAAAGTCTACTTGTTTCCTCAAAACGTTCTTCTCAATAGAAATCAAAGATGTATTCCATTTTTATGTTTTATTTGAAATTCCGGAATTACCAGAACTGTGTAGTTACAAATTAAGATCTCTGTAACACGAGCTGCTTTATTTAACATACAGCATTATTTATAATACCTCATAGATGTTTTCATTCTTATTTAGGTCCAAGATGCCATATTTTTTGTGTACTGTTGGACTCAAGGAACATTCTGTTTGGTTGTAATTTGTAACAACATAATAATTTCTCTTTAGTTTCCCAATGAGAAGCATCTAGACCAAAAGTAACTTTTAAAATGCTGTATGAAGTGAAATTTCTATATTTTTCTAATTCCTTATTTCTCTTTATGTAGGATTGAAAATGGCTGCACAAAAACAATGGCTCTCTACGCTGCTGACTGAAATTAAAAAGAGCCCGTTGTCATCAAATTTAGCTTTTGGACTAGTACTTTTTTGCTTTGAGAAGATCGTGGAAGTTGAATTTGCATGCCCTTGCTCTGCAAATTTGAATCCTTTGTTTGCTTCATTGTTCTTTGTTGTTCCAGCTGTCATAGTCTTTATCCTCATGCTCATGATTAAAGGATGCTGTAAAATGTCCGCAGAGTATATCTGTGACAGCTTTGTCCCTTCCATAACGTGGCTGATAATAGTATTTCTTGATGGCCGGTACTATGTCTGTGCGAGGACAAACTGGTCAGGAAGATATAAAATAATTGAAGGCGCTGAACCGCAACGATGGTGTAAACCACACAACATGTCTGAAGAGTACGCTGACTTAAGTCAGGGATGGTACGCTGAATCTCAGGTAAGAAACAATCTGATGTTTCTAATTACACAAATCATTGATGTGGTTAGTGAGTAATCATGCTTTCATAAATATTTCCTTATAATTTGGTCTAGGCCATTGGATTCGGGATAGCCCTGGGGTTCACCATATTCTTTCCACCCATTTGGTGGTGCTGCAAGAATTGCTCAACTACCAAAGAGACCACTGATGCAGCTGAGAAGCAGTCTCTGAGTAGGTCTTAATTCCACTGACACACAACTCAAAGACATGGGAATTGAATCAGAATCAGAATAAGGTTTATTGCCAAGTAGGTTTTTGACTTACAAGGAATTTGCTTTTTATAAGACTTAAATTGTTATCAAAAAATTGTATATTTATAGATTAACAGAACGTCTGAGGCACAGCTGAGTTAGGCTGTCATTTGCAGTACAAATTGATGTATGGAAAGGAACGAACAGTTTTTGGTCATATTGGAAAGAGTTCCTTCTCCTCCTAAGTAGGTTTCTGCTCCCTGAGATATGCATCGTCTCTTTTTTTCTTTTTTTCTTTTTAATTGTTTATTTTGCACAGGTGAAAGCAAGCAACACAAGTGAAACCATTATTTGATTTGAGCTGTGTCAGAAATCAATGGAAGTGATTCTGGCAGAAATAAGAGACAGCTTTTTTATGCTTGTATTAGCTTAAATATGTAGAATTGTTCCTTTTCCTTTGTGTGTCTTTATCATATATTTATGATGAACATTATTCATTAACAGATTATTGGCAGACAAACTGTACTCTGACCTTGTTCGTAGTTTCACTCGATTCTCTTGTTTGTTAACATACTCTTTTTCCTTGAATCCAGTCTTAATGCAATAATGGAGTGTTTTTTAATTCTTTGAATAAAATTGAACTTTTATCAAAGTCTTTGTT